CCCCACCAACCATGTCATGTAGGTTTCACCTCAACTGAGGACTGAGAAGCAGGGATCCCAGTACACCACAGATAAGACCCCTGACCTGGGGCAGCCAGGTGACCTGGGAGGTCACTGGAGCTCACATGTGCCCGTCACCATCTAACGCTTACTCCCATTCTTTTCTCTCCTCATGGTCCTCCCCCACTTCCCTTGCTTCTTCACTCCCTAAGAATCAGGCCCTGGAGGAGCTAAAAAGAGGCCTGCACGAGGAGGGGCACTTTGACTTGCTGGGAAATTGGCACAGAAACAACCCGAAGATATGGTCCATACTACCTGGGTACTTCGGGCACTCTGCAGGTATCCATGTGGCAGTCACTTTCACTGAGGGAGTAAACAGAGAGTGTTAGAGCCCGGGGTGGGGCCGGGAGAAGCATCACTGTGCTGGACAGCCCAGGTTTCCCCAAGAGCCAACCGTGCCACAGGCCTGCTGACCTGCGAAGCTGGGGCCATGCAGCCCTTCCACCCTAGCCAGGTGAGCAGACCAAGCTTGGAACCTGTTACGGGTTGAACTGTAGCCCCAAGAAAGATCTGTTGAAGTCCTAACTCTGCACCTGTGCATGTGACCTTGTCTGGGGAAATTGGGTTTTTCTTTGTGATGTGACCGGTTAAATTAATGAGGACACATCAGAGCAGGGTGGTCCCACTCCTAATCCCTTCTGCGTGGCAATTTATGAAAGAGGAGGACAGACACGGAAGACAGAGTCACACACATGGGGAAACAGAGACATTTGTGACGACGGAGGCGAATGCATCTCCAAGCAGCCAAGGAACGCCAAGGATGGCCGGGAGCCACCAGAAGCAGGAGAGGGACATGGGACGGTCTTCTCTCAGAATCCCCAGAAGGAATCGACACAGCCGACACCCTGATTCGGACTCCCCACCTCCAGAAGTGTGAGACAGTAAATTCCTCTTCTTTAAGCATGCCCACTTTGTGATATTCTGTTTGGGCAGCTCCAGGAAACCAAGACGGAGACCACAGCAAAGTAAGTCCGGCAGGCTGCGTCTGGGAGCTTGATGTACAGCTCTGCCAAGAGGCAGCCCACGCGGGTGGTGACGGACTGACCTAGGGCAAGGCCCTCTCTGGGGACACCATGGGTGAGAGACAGAGAGACGGGGAAGCAGGCACAGATATCAGCACTGGCCCTGTGACCCTCAGGAGGCCCTGGCAATACCTCCCTCAACAGCTCCCGCCCTACCCGGGCTTCTTTGTCTCCAGCAGTGTCTTCTGCAGAATCTCGCTGCGTTTGCCCTGGCTGCAGAAAGGAAGATTCCAAGTGACTTCACGAAAAAGCACCCTCTCATGTTTAAGACAGTGAAGCTCTTCTGCAGGACACTGTCATGGTGGACACATGGCATGATGCACTTGTCCAGACCCATAGGGCTGTGCAGCAGAGTTAACCCCAGTGTGAACTATGGACTCTAGTGAATAATGCATCAATACTGGTTCATCTGTTGTAACAAATGTGCCATAGGAATGCAAGATGTTAATATAGGAGAATCAGTGTGCAGGGGCAGTGGGACACATGGGAACTCTCTGTACTTTCTATGCAATTTTTCTGTAAACCTAGAACTGCCCTAAAGTTTTTAACTGTTTTAAACTGCTATAAAGTTAATTTAAAAGCTAAAAAAAAAAAAAAAAAAAATGAATAAGTAGCCCTTTCCTAAGAAAGTGCCCTGTGCTCAGGTTCATGTCCACTCCAGAGGGGGTGGGAGGCTGGCCAGGTGAAGGCTGTGCTTGCATCCCCCGCCCCAGCAGGCCCCCACCTGTGCTGTGACTTCACTCAGGATCGGGGCGGTGGTGGGGGGTGGGGGGAGGAGGAGGAGGGGAAGAGGAGAAAGAGGTGAGCTTCCAGGTGGGGGCCTCTTGAAGCCCGTGTCCACTCTGAAGACCAGGCTGGAAGCTCCAGCCACTGAGTGTGGCTCAGGAATGCCAGTCTTTGCAGGTGAAAAGGCAGAGGGTGGTGTTGGCAGGTTCAAAGTCAGGTTGCTGGGTGGACAGAAGGATGGGAGAGTCCCTACCTCAGTGGCAGGCTCCCCTGTAGGTCCTGCAGGTGGTGAGCATCATTGCTGCAGAGAGAGAAGTCATGTCAGTTTCAACTGTCCATCCCTCCATCCATCAAGTATTTGCTGGGCATCCACTAGGCACTGAGCAGTGGAAGGAGAGTTGGAGTCGGGATTTGACTCTTGATGGCCACTGGGTCATGCCCCCTTACTGCGAGCTCACTGACCGTTAGGAGATTTCCTCTTATTTTTTTCCCTGTTGGGCAGGAAGTGAGAGCCCTGAAGCAATTAGCTCCAAGAAGAGACACGAACACTAATGTGTCTGCGGTTCTGGTGGGGTCAGAGGACACACCACCACTGGCTGTCCTGGTGAAGCAGCTGAGGGGATGAGTTGCCATGGAACGAACATGGCTGTATTCTGCCAAACCCTGTGGTTGCCATGGGGCAAGCTGGCTATTGGTTAACTTTATACACATGTGCTTATCCTCTCATACCTGTTGCTGTCATGTCGATTCTGACTCATAGCATTCCTATAGGACAGAGTAGAATGCCCCATAGAGTTTTCAAGGAGCGGCTGGTGGATTTGAACTGCTGCCCTTTGGGTTAGCAGCTGAGCTCTTAACAACTACACCACCAGGATTCCTATCCTTTCATAGGATTTGAGAAAACACGGTAGAAAGAGGAACATTGAGATATGCTGTGTTGTGAGTCATGAGTCTCTTGGGTTATGACGGCCTCTGAGTCTTTGTATGAAGTTGACAGGACTTAAATCATCTGTTAAAATAATGAAGCTTCAATACGCGTTTGTATTTTGATTTCTGTTACAGAAGATCTTTCTAGAAGGAACTACCTGGATTCCAAAAGATGCTTCCATTACCTTTGAGACTCTTCTCTCTGCGTCCATCTGAGGGTCAGGCTGAACACGTTGCTGGGGAGAAAGAGAACATGAAGTTGAGTCCTCTTCTTATGGGGAGAGCAGAGAGGCTGTGCCTGCAGAGGCTGAACCCCCAACACACACACGCAGCTCTGGCCCTTTGGACCTCTGGCTTGGAGAAAGTAGACATGGAGCCCAGCAGGCCCACTGGGACTTTCTCACTTGGTCCTGGGTGCGAGAGTGGAGTTCACAGGCAGACCACCCCAAGCAGTGCCCCACTGGCCTCACTGGGTTGTGACCTTGAACCCACACACACATCCAGAAGGACTTGACTTATACAGGCAGGCCAACTGTTTTAACACAATCCATCACTAAAAACAACGGCTTCTAAGTGCTCCTGGCCTTCATCCCTGTGGCTTAGGGACCTCCCACAACAGAATCATCCAAGAAGATGCTTACAAATGTGATTCCAGACTTCTGGAATCCAGACACGAGGCTCTGGGCAGGGAATGTGTGTGTGTAGAAATCTTCATTTTTAACCAGGTGATTGGCATACACTCTAAAGCTGAAGACTGCTGCCTTATTTCCATTTTATAATGACTGGGGGAGATGAAGTATTAAAACCCCAAATGGCAGATGTGGAGCTGAGGCTCATGAGAACACGGGACTCACTGGTTAAGTGTCAGAGCAGAGAGGAAACTGCAGGCTCTCGGTGGCCTCAGTACCTCCAGCCATTTCAGGTACAGACCTGTAAGCTGGAACCCTGTCCTCGGCTCACTCTCCCTGCCCCCCTTCCCACAACACTCTTCCTCAATACAAGGACCATTGGCTTCTCAAGTCCCATTACATATGCCCCTCCGCCATGAAGGTAATCTGCTTCCTCACTGGAAGTTCACCTCTCGCTACACCAAGGGTTTCTTGGGTGATCTCACTAGGGTTTGACGGAGTACAGTGACTTGATTGTGTGTGTCTAACCTCCCCCCTCTACAGACTGAGTGCAGGTGGGGGCAAGGACAGCGTCTCGATCAACCCACCCCACTTCCTGGTGTCCTCATCCACTCTCAGACGACCCCATGTGGATGGAGTCTTAATATCAAACCCAGACTGCTGTCCCCATTGTTGTCTGCCCTGCAGGCTCCTGAAACTCACCATGGCCCCCTCCACATCTCCCCATCCACAACCTGATGCTCTTCTGTGCACTGTCCCTCTTAGTGACCCCACTCTCCACTTAGTCTCGAGCTCTAGAGATATTGGGGATTCATGACACTTTCAGAACCACCCCTCCCACAACGCACCAAAGAGACAGATGCCTTCAAACGGGTGAGGCAGGACAGGAGAGCTGAGAACCAATCCTAGCCACCTGAGGACCAAAGTCCGTGGGACCCCGAACCCTAAGTGACTATACATGTGGGGTGGTGTCTGTGTGTGACTGTTTCTTTTTGCCACCTTGGGAGATAATTTTGTCCATTGAAGAATTTTGCCCTAGAACTTATCATGGTTTAAGTGAATTAAAAAAAACCCAAAAGCCTCAATGGTTTTTAAATCACTTTTTGAACACTGAGGTCATCTTTAAAAAGTGTAAATGTTCATCTGAAGAAAGAGCTCTCACTGGGAGCTTGCAGATATATTCATGCAGGTATATTCACACCAGGATGGGATTCACAACCTGCTCAGATGAAAAATATAACATTTCTATACTCACAAACACTTATGAAAGGAGTATATGGGGCAAAAATCTAATATAAAATATCTGTTCTAAAAGAAAATGTACTCTAGAAATCAAATGAATATTTTACATATTAAATGTATTTTGGTGTAAACAACTTAAAAAAAACAAAAACAAGAACTCTCAAGGATGAGAAAAAAAGAAGGTACAATGAAACCCAAACACAAGGGGCAATTCATAGAGAAGAGGGTGCTGAATGAACAATCCCAAAGAACCACAGCACCTAGATGGGGAGAAGAGGTCAGACCTCAGACCAGATGGTGTTGGGACCAAGCTCCTGATTTTAACAGAGACGCTGGAAATGACAAGGAGCCAGGGGGCAGACCAGAAAGGTGAGGGATTTCAGAAATGAGTGTCAGGAGGAACCAGCAGGGTACAGCCTGGAAAAAACTCAGGGGAGACAACAGGTGTCTCCAAATACTGAAGACATGCTGTCAGTGGCTCCCTGGGGTGCTGAGGTTACAGGAAGAATATTGTTTTGCAATATGAGTATTGTGGATTGAATTGTGAACCCAAGAAAGATATGTTGAAGCCCTAACCTCAGTACCTGTGAACGTGCCCTTGTTTGGAACGAGGGTCTTTGAAGATGTTATCATTAACAAGAGGTCACGTGGTTTAGGGTGAGTCCTAATCTTATAAGTATAACGAACATAACATGCTAATAATCATTGGGATAAAACTGAGCTGTCTGCAAAGTTCAGGTGGAAAATGGCCATCTGCCACACATGCTGTGCCACCTCTGAGGGTGGCTCTGAATTTAAGATTTGGTGTTTCCTGCTGTGACTGGAAAGGGAAGGGGCTTGGTTGAGAGGAAGGAGCAGTGACCTGCAGGGCTGCCTCACCTGTGAAGCCGGTGCAGTCACATGACCCACAGCACTGCCCCTCTGAATTGGGCAACCCAGGAAAGCATGCAACAATTGGACACCATGTCCAGTATGTGGTGCTCTCTGCAGATGAAGGGCCCAGAAAATGGGCAAGGAGCCACCGGGAATGTCACCCATCCTGCCACGGGACCACTGTGTAATTTGTACCACTTGTTGGCTTAGACGTGACCTGCTCTAACTGAGGTGGAACTTGGGGGTCTTCTCCCAGGAGCTGGAGGTGGCCCTACCCAAGCCTGATGACAGCTGCCCCAATTCTGTTGTCATTAAGGTTGTGTATCTCAGTGGTTTGGCAGTTATGATGTGGTTTGGCAGTCATATAATGATGTAATCACCACCCATGATGAGATCTGATATAGTGTGGTCACCTCCCTGATGGGACCTGCAGTGAGTAGCCAATCAGTTGAAAGGGAGTTTCCTTGGGGTCGTGGCGTGCATCCAATATATGTGGACTTTCCAGCAAAGTTCATTGGCTTTTGCTCTGCTCTGGATCTGGAAGTCTGCTCGTCAACATCTGATCTCCAGTTCTTGGAACTCTGGCAAGCAACCTGCCATCTTACCTGCTGATCTTGGATTCATCAGTCTTTGCAGCCATGAGCCAGCAGCCTGTCATCTGACCTGTATATCTTGGGTTTGTCTATCCCGACAGCTATATGAGTCAAGAGAAACCTCCAGCCCAATGTCTAACTCATGGACTTGGAGCTTGCCAGCCTCTACAACTGCGTAAGCCATTTCCTTGAGATAAATCTCTCTTCTTTCTCTCTCTCTCTCTATATATAATATCCCTATGTCTATAAGGAAGACCAGTCAATAGGACTATTATTCAAGTTTAAAAGGCATGGTGTTGTCAATTGCCTCATATGCATGTGAAAGCTGGATGATGAATAAGGGAGACCGTAGAAGAATTGACGCCTTTGAATTGTGGTGTTGGTCAATAACATTGAATATACCATGGATTGCCAAAAGAATGAACCAATTTGTCTTGGAAGTACAGCCAGAATGCTCCTTAGGTGTAAGGATGGCGAGACTACTTTTCACATACTTTGGACATGTTATCAGGAGAGATTAGTCCCTGGAGAAGGACATCATGCTTGGTACAGTACAGGGTCAGCGAAAAAGAGGAAGACCCTCAACGAGATGGATTGACACAGTGGCTGCAACAATGGGCTCAAGCATAACAACGATTGTGAGGATGGTGGAGGACCAGGTAGTGTTTGGTTCTGCTGTGCTAGGGTCACTGTGAGTCAGAACCGACTTGACAGCACCTAACAACAACAAGAACAACACAAGGAAGACCAGTCAATATGACTATTATTCAAATTTACGCACCAACCACTAAAGCCAAAGATGAAGAAATTGAAGATTTTTACCAACTTCTGCAGTCTGAAATTGTTCGAACACGCATTAAAGATGCATTCATAATTAATGGTGATTGGAATTTGAAATTTGAAACAAAGAAGAAGAATCGGTAGTTGGAAAACATGACTGTGGTGATAGAAACGATGCCGGAGATCACATGATAGAATTTTGCAAGACCAATGAATTCTTGATTGCAAATATGTTTTTCAACAGCAAGAACAGCGACTATACACATGGACCTCACCAGATGGAATACACAAAAATCAAATTGACTATATCTGCGGAAAGAGATGATGGAAAAGCTCAATATCATTAGTCAGAACAAGGCCAGGGGTCGACTGCAGAACAGACCATCAATTACTCAGATGCCAAGTTCAAGTTGAAGCTGAAGAAAATTAGGACAAGTCCAAGAGAGCCAAAGTACCACCTTGAGTATATCCCACCTGAATTTAGAGACCATTTCAAGAATAGATTTGATGCATTGAATGCTAATGAACGAAGATCAGATGACTTGTGGAATGACATCAAGGGCATCATACATGAAGAAAGCAAGAGGTCATTAAAAAGACAGGAAAGAAAGAAAGAAACGACCAAAATGGATGTCAGAAGAGACTCTGAAATTTGCTTTGGGATGTCAAGTAGCTAAAGCGAATGGAAGAAATGATGAAGTAAAAGAGCTGAATGGAAGATTTTAAAGGGAGGCTTGAAAGGACAAAGTATTATAATGACATATGGAAAGACTTGGAGTTAAAAACCAAAAGGGAAGAACACGCTCAGCATTTCTCAAGCTGAAAGAACTGAAGAAACAATCCAAGCCTAGAGTTGCAATATTGAAGGATTCTACGGGGGAAAATATCAAACGATGCAAGAAGCGTTAAAAGAAAATGGAAGAAATACAAAGAGTCACTATACCAAAAAGAACTGGTTGATGTTCAGCCAGTTCAGGAGGTAGCATATGATCAAGAACCGATGCTACTGAAGGAAGAGGTCAAAGCTGCACTGAAGGCATTGGTGAAAAACACGGCTCTAGGAATTGACTGAATACCAATTGAGATGTTTCAACAAACAGCTGCAGCAGTGGAAGTGCTCACTCATCTATGCGAAGAAATTTCTAAGACAGCTACCTGGCCAACCGACTGGAAGAAATTCTTATTTATGACTAATCCAAAGAAAGGTGATCCAACTGAATGCAGAAAATTATCAAACAATATCATTAATATCATAAGTAAGTAAAATTTTGCTGAAGATCATTCAAGAGTGTCTGCAGCAGTACATTGACAGGAAATTGCCAGAAACTCAAGCAAGATTCAGAAGAGGATGTGGAGCCAGCGATATCATTGCTGATGTCAGATGGATCCTGGCTGAAAGCAGAGAATACCAGAAGGATGTTTACCTGTGTTTTATTGACTAGGCAAAGGCATTTGACTGTGTGGATCGTAACAAATTATGGATAACACTGCCAAGAATGGGAATTCCAGAACACAATTGTGCTCATGAGGAACCTGTACATAGATCAAGAGGCAGTTATTTGAACAGAACAAGAGGATACTGCATGGTTTAAAGTCAGGAAGCTGTGCATCAGGGTAGTATCCTTTCACCTACTTATTTAATCTGTATGCTGAGCAAATAATTTGAAAAGCTGGACTATATGAAGAAGAACATAGCATCAAGATTGGAAGAAGACTCATTAATAATCTGCATTATGCAGATGACACAACCTTGCTTGCTAAAAGTGAAGAGGACTTGAAGCACTTACTGATGAAGATCAAAGACTACAGCCTTCAGTATGGATTACATCTCAACATAAAGAAAACAAAAATCTTCACAAATGGACCAATAAGCAACATCATGGTAAATGGAGAAAAGATTGAAGTTGTCAAGGATTTCATTTTACTCGGATGCACAATCGACACCCATGGAAGCAGCAGTCAAGCAATGAAATGATACATTGCGTTGGGCAAATCTGCTGCAAAAGATCTCTTTTAAAGTGTTAAAAAGCAAAGATGTCACCTTGAAGACTAAGGTGCTACCTACTCAAGCCATAGTCTTTTCAATCGCCTCATATACATGTGAAAGCTGGACAATGAACAAGGAAGATGGAAGAAGAATTGATGCCTTTGAATTTTGGTGTTGGCTAAGAATATTCAATATTGAACGAACAAATCTGTCTTGGAAGAAGTATAGCCAGAATGCTCCTTGGAAGTGAGGACGGTGAGACTCACATACTTTGGACATGTTATCAGGAAGGACCAGTCCCTGGGGAAGGACATCATGCTTGGTAGAGGGTCAGCAAAAAAGAGGAAGACCTTCAACGAGACGGACTGACACGGCAGCTGCAACAATGGGCTCAAGCATAACAACAATTGTGAGGCTGGCCAGTAACCGCAACAACGGGCTCAAGCATAAAGATTGTGAGGTTGGTGTAGGACCAGGCAGTGTTTCATTCTGTTATACATAGGGTCACTATGAGTCGAAAGTGCATCAACAGCACCTAACAACAACATGTAGTGTATATACATACACACACATATATATATATGTGTGTATGTATATATACTTCACTGGTTTTGCTTCTCTAGAGAACGCAGCCTAAGACGCTGCCTATTGACCTGTCTATTCCCTAGCTTACCATGACAGCCTTCAGGGCAGGGAACTGTCCATTGACGGTGTCATCTAGTGCTGCTATAACAGAAATGGGTGGCTTTAACACAGAGAAATTTATTTTCTCACTGTTTGGAAGGCTAGAAGTCCGAATTCAGGATGCTATCTCTGGAGGACAGCTTTCTATCTGTTGGCTCTGGGGGAAGGTCCTTATTCCCTGGCTCCTGGGTGATCTTCTCGTGGCATGGGTCTATCCTCTCCCATCTCTACTTTCTCGATTGCTTGTTTAATCTCTTTTATATCTCAGAAGAGATTGACTCAAGACACAGCCTGCACTAATCCTGCCATTAACCTAACAAAGACAATCCATTTCCAAATGTGATTATAACTATAATTATAGAAGTTAGGATATACAAAGCATATTTTTGGGGAACACAATTCAATCCATTACAAACATACCTTCTTGTGGGCTGACATACATACATAAAAATTCCATATCCATTGCAAAGTTTAGGCTAAGGACAATTTTAGCTTCTTGTGGAATAAGAGCTGACGTACTAAAAAAAGTTGGTTATTGTGTTAGTTGGCACTAGGTTGACTAGATTAGGTCTAAATTGTTTTAAGGGAATGCAATTTTACAACTGCCAAGTTTAAAAACAAAGGAGGTGTAGTGTTAACAGCTTGGCTGCTAACCAAAAGGTTGGCAGTTCAAATCCACCAACTGTTCCTTGGAAACTCTATGGGGCAGTTCTACTCTGTCCCATAAGATTGTCATGAGTCGGAATTGACTCAACGGCAGTGGGTAGCATAAAAAAATACCGCTACAAAGTGTCATTCATTTTCCATAAATGTATTTAAAGTATGAGGAGAGCTACATGTGTTGGTAAATGGTGTTTCTAAAAGGCTATGATACCTGCCCTCCGAAGCCCTTTAGACAGTCATGTTTATACTATCCTTAGGGGTGAATCCACTCCAAAAAAGCCAAAACTAGTTGCCATCAAGTGGATTCTGATTCATGGTGCCCCAATGCGTTACAGAGTACAAGTGCTCCTCGGGGTTTTCAATGGCTGTAATCTTTACGGAAGCATATCACCAGGACTTTCTTTCATGAGGCCACGGGGTGGATTTGAACCACCAACCTTTCAGTTAGTAGTTGAGTGCAAACCATTTGTGCCACCCAGGGACCCAGGGACTCCACTACTTATAAAATGCCATAAATCGTCAGAGAGCAGAGGAAAGTGCTCTGGCTGGGAACCTGACCAACCCTTCCCCTGACAAGTGATGGGACTTGTGTCTAGGAATATCACCACAGAGCCTCAGTTGGCTTATCTGCAAAATGGGAATGACAACATTGGGCATGCCTCCTCCAGGGTTGTGATTGTTGACCAAGAAACCTAAACAATCTCTTAACTGAAGTCAAAGTAAGCCAGAGACCCAGCCTGCAGCAGGATCCCCAAGGCTGTTCCTCTTCTTACCTGTAGAAACCCAGACATGCAGTGAAGAACAGGATCAGGCAGAGCCACGACTTGGTGCTCCTGTCCCAGCCATCTGCAGAGAGAAAGTCTGGGTTACTCGGGGCTGGGTCACCTGGTTACTGAACCACCTAGTTGAGGTGAAAGTTGGGCACCAGCCAGTGGTGGCCTCATGGCAGCTCTGGCCAGAATCCCCCTTCCTACTTTGTTCTCCCAGGGATACCAGATCCCATTGGCCTCGCCCTGTGGCTCCTGGCACCTGCCCAGCACCTGCCTTGCCATTTCCTTGTTGAGTGGAACCAGGACCATTGTCACGCTCCAAAGGAGTGGAGTGGGGTGCTGTGGAACATGGCGATTAATTGGCTCTCAAAGGTGGATGATGAGACACATAAGAATCGTGAAAGACAAATGTCCAAATTTAGCTTCACAGAGGGGCTTCAAACTCCACTGGTATACAACCAAAGCCCTGTTGCTGTAGGAGCTTACACCAGAGTTACAAACACCAAAATAATTAAGACCTGAGGGACTGCTGGGAGAGATGCTTTGCTTCCAGGGAACATACATGTTTGAAGGACACTGCAATGTATGTGTGGGTCAACTCTCAGCTGAAGGCTGCAGGCTTAGCAAGCCCTCTTTCAATAAAGAGCAGCCTTCCCCACCACGCCCCTACCCCACCGAAACCCGACCCCGCCAAGACCCCGTGCAGGGTCTTACAAGGCTCATGTGTGATTTTCATAGATTGGAACCTGGGTTGGGGGTCCCAAGTGTTTGACTGAGAAAGCCAGGCACACCTGGGGGCAGCCCAGAGACTTTTACCAGAGTTTCATTTGGACTAAGACAGACATTTCTGTT